GATGCACGCTTATTCGCGGATCTTTGTTAATTAAAATCTCGGTAACTATTGCGAATCTAGCAAAATGGTATAGGACTTTTCACCTTAGTTTTATTCCTTCTACCTGTGTACGAGCGATGTTAAACCAATTCTGGGACACCCTGTATATATATATATAAAACATATACTAATATTATTCAGCGTCTCTCTATAAATTTTGAAAACAAAGAAAATAAAGAATTCTCACACTTTTTGCTTTAAACATCTGCTGAATTAATGCAAAAATCATCTTAATACTAGAGAAAATAAAACATTTTTATAGTTTGTTTCATTGTATTTATTTTCCATTTTTTGTCGAGTTATCCATGATTTCTGCGATTCATGTCGGTGAAATATCAGAGTTTTGGTTACTTATGCCTTCTTTTTTACTTGGTCGATAAGTAAAGAACTTTGCATGGACTAATACATTTAATTCTAAAAAGATATTCAAAAAGACAGGATATGCACACACATGTTTATGCAAAAAATTATATGATATCATTTATATGATAGTTTTCTTTGTTCTTACTTTTTTTGTAAACGTGTAACAAAATGCAACGCACACAAATGTAAGTGGCACAAAAGGCGTAAATCGAAAACGACGAATTTACATATATTTAACGTGCATAAAGTGGAATGACGTTTTTTTTCATGTACATACATGTCTTATTTATTTCAACGAAAGAATAATTCATATTGTAATGTATATATATATATGTTTTTTTTTTCAGTCGATAGTTTACTCGCAATTTCTAAAATCATTATAAATATAAAGCGGATAGTGTGTAACTCTCTCATTTTTCCGTTCACATATTCTAATCATCATTACGCGCATATTTCCTACTCGTGCCCGCGATACACGTGTGACTAGTAATAAATGTGTAACTAATAGAATAACTTAAATATCTTTTACTCGCTATATGTATATATAATCATTATGTATATTATTATAAATCCTTGCTTTCGCTCGTTTTTGTTCTCGTTTGTATTCTTAAATATCCGACTGGAATGATCATGAAAAATGAAAGATATTATATTCAATCGCGCACTAAAAAACCAAGTGTGTGTGTGTGTGTGTGTATATATATATGTGTATATATGTATATATATATACATATATATATATATATATATGTATATATACACATACACACTTAATGTATATATATATATATATATGCATCAGAGCTCCAAGATTCGTTCAAATCTACACAAGTATCAGGATAGTGAATAATTGCAGATAATTTGGAGTTTTTAAATTGAAGTTATTCAAAATATATGAACAATAGAATGTGTCAAATCTGTATTACGACCGAACCGCACGCGGATTTAAATCCGCATCTTGAATCTAAATCTGTAGAATCCCAGAGTCCAGATCCATATATTCGATTATATTTTATGTTTCGGAAACAAAAAGTCGAAGAAAATTCTATGATCGGTAAGAACATTCATAGATAGATCTTATATTTCATCAGAGATGTGCCTTAGTAACAAAAAATAAATAATTGCTAAAATAGAGGAATTCAATGCATGTATATGAATTCGGATTTTAAATAACTTGAATTTTGTCAATATAGGATTTTAAAACATTATTCAGATATCCTCAAATACTGGAAAGCGCTTTAACATATACATGTACGTGTTTTATTTTGTTATGAAATTAATCACCTTTTATATTAGTAAAATACTGTGTTTACACGCGCGCGTACACACACACACACACACACACGCACGCACGCACACACACACACACACACAAAATTGCTGGAAGAACTCGAATAAAAACTGTAATATAATCTGTAATAAAAACTTAGTGTTCCTTAAATAACTTTCACAAATCAGTGAAAGACTGCAAACTGATGTAGCTTTCGATGACTTTCGCAAAAAATTCACAATATCTACAATAAAATCTAAAAAAAAAATCGTCTCTAAATATATGATTATAATATAATTACATGTATATTAATATTACCTATTTAGATAAGGCCACTAGTGGATAATACAGATATAAATGTTATAGTTAAGCATAAATTCAAAAGCAATGATCAATAATACGTAATATGTCCAGAAACGATCGACTATTGGTAAAACAAGGTTTGTATCACGAATTACGTGTATTGCGAATTTTTTTCAATGTACAAATAGTTTGTTATTGTCATATACTTTCATTGTAAGATGACATAATGCGAACAACATTTACATTGATATTACAGACAATGTTTCACAATTGCACAAAACTATTCTGGAAAATATCTTTTTTTACTCTGGACATATGTAGAATCTTTTTTGTTTTAGTTGCTATATTAAGAAGTCTATAATTATATATTATCATTAATAAACACTATATTTTTTTCTTTCTTAAGAATATGCAATTCTTCATTATTATATTTTGAGTATAAGATTTGTCTTCTTTTAAAAAGCTATTATGATACAATTCACGTGAGAGCTGTGTACAAACATGGTATTACAATTACAAAACTTACTAATGCCTTGTATTTTTATCAGAAAATCGTTCGTGTGTAAGTTTATTACACTTTTAAACATGCACGAAGAGAGATAAACATACTGCTGAAATCCGTTTCACAAAAATATCCGTACGCAAAAACATTTCCGTATAAATTCGAAGTAAAGAAACATTTGTCTCTGGTTACATCGTTCGCGTGTGTCTGGTAATCGAAAAATAACGGATTTATTTAATTCTATCAAAACTGTTTTTTGTTTTTCATTTTGCCACTCGATGTCGTTCAAATATCACGACACACTAGGCACTGTACATTGAGCATCGCTCGAGCCAGACTTCTTAGTCTGGCTTATATCGTGTGTTACAACGTCGACTCATGTATCACCGTCGTATTTGGATCGCTGCTGGCATTTTGAATTATTGCTGGCGATATATGTGGTGTCAACGTGATGGATGAAGTCTTTCGTACAGATTTTGGTGAAATCTACAATCAAATATACATATAATAAAAACTTAATTTAATTTAATTTTATTAATTTGAAAGTTTGAGTTGTTTGTTTTCTGTTTAATCGTATCGTATCAATAAACTCGTATCATAAATATAATAATCTAATTTCAATAATGTACTTTATATCTACCCATTCTCTTCTGCAAGGTGCTTCATCGTCCGAATAATGATCGATCTGCCCAATATCAGTTTCCGTCGCCGCGTTCCTCTTCTTTGGCTGCAGAGTCGCGTAATTGCCACAGCCTCTAGTAAAATTAGTTATGTTCTTCTCTTCGACGATCTTCTCCTGGCATAGTATCTCTTGCGATTTACTTTGTTTATTGTTTGTTACGTCACTAGTAGTTTTATTATTGAAATAAAACGGCGGCATTTTTGATACCCAGTGATCCAAGCCGGAACCAGCTGAACTCGTCGACGCCGCAGACGAATTTCCAGTGGAATTATTGGACAAGCCTCTTCGTTGATAGAACAGCATATATGCCGCGTTTGTTATCAGATTTGTGTCATTGACCGCTTCTACGCGCGTGTCGTCGAAGCAATACCATTGCGTGTCGTATGGATTTCTACAAAACGCAGTGTAATGTCCGCCTTGCAAATCCTGCCCGTGATGATTGCATATCGCGTATAGGTCGTAGACATTCTCGTCATACTTGGGGATATTGTGTTGCCGTGGTCGCGGCTTTTTCCAAGGCGACCAACCCAAACCGCCCAGACTACTGACATTATTGTGAGTTGTTTGGACGCCGTTGTGGGCAAGATGCGGCGTCATATCGAAGCCGTACAAAGGAAAGTCAACTAACATAGTCAATTTGGATGTTGACCGCTGCCTAGATTGCTGACGAAATCTCTTTAAGTGTATAACTAATATATCAGGCAACGACCAAAGGCCTAGTTTTTTCACAACTTCTTGTTTCTTGTTGCAATATGGACAATGCCACGCGTCTTCCGCTCCTAATATCTCCGCTCGTGTGTACAAATCGAAGCATTCTTCTAAAGTAACCGCGCCACCTAGTTCAGAATTAGTCTTTAACTGTTTCACACTGGCATGTTCCTCGATTGGATCACTGTCGTCCTGTATAATATTACACTTGGTGGCTTCGTCCCATTCAAGAATCAGTTTTACGTGTTGAGGACCTGAATCATCGGCACAAAGCGCCAACGCTTGCTCGATTTGTTCCGTGTAGAGCGGATGTTCTACACAAGGATCGATGCAGGGATGTTCATCTTGAACAGGTGTTGCCGCTGGATCTGCTACGCGAATGTTGAAGAGTCCTGGATTTTGACTGGTTGTGAGAACGTCGTCCGCCAGTGTACTATGCATCTCCTTCAGCAGAAGCTTCTGCAGATCCTCGTAGGAAGTTTCGCGCGACACTTGCATCGTGTACGGACTACCGAAACGTTGCTTTAGATCTCCCTTCACAAGTACGTTGATCCATACCAGCAAGATGTATGCTTGTTCCGTAGGTTCTTTCAATTGCGGCAGCTCAATGCAGTAAAGCGGATCGTTCTCCGTAATCACGGATAAAGGTTGACAGTCGGAGAAGGTTCTGTAAAAGTAACACATACACACACACACACACACACATATATATATGTTCCTTTACGTATATTCTTATATTTTTATATATATGTTCTTTTTCCTTTTCGTTTTCTATTATTGAAACATATACTATCTTTATATAAGTGACATGTAAGAAGCTTAGACAACGCAAAGTAATACAAACGCAATAAAATTGTTAAGAAAATTTGCTGTGTTTACAAAGTATTTTGCTCTTTTTGTAACATGAAATCGTAATCTACTCTTTTATATATACATATCTATTGTACTATTATTTGTATTATTTATTGTTTCCTCTTATTTAAATATATGTTTTTCGAAATTTGATGGAAAATTATAAAGAATTTACTTCAAACAGTTCTTTTTAGATATTCTTATGCTGTTTTTTATTGTCGTAATTTACCTGTGAAATCCTTCGTCATGGATTTCAGTCAGCAGCATGTGATTTTCATCCACTCCGGTATCGCTGGCGAGGATTTCTCGGAGTTCTCGTATATTTGCCGACTGATTCACGCTCACGCCAATCTTAACTTGCCGCGGTTGTTGAGAAGTGTAGAGAACGTTCACATAAAGATTCATCTGACGATGGTTCTGCGGTACTGGTACTGACACGCATAGAAAAGGATCAAAGGTGTTTGATTGTCGATGACATCTCGGACAAGTCAGACTAGACCGAAACTGTGCTTGGAACACAGCGTGCACGAATGAATTGTTACACCGCACATGATTTGCTAAAGTCTCGGCGGCCACAATGTCATCGGGTCTGCCAAAGGAATTCTGCAAACAGATAATCAATACTAAAGTATATAAATAATTAACATTCATAATTAACATTTTCGTTTATAAAAATTAATAAAAATTCTTTACAACTGCGTGTAAAAAAGGCTCAAATTTTTCTTTAACCTTTAGAAAAACCACTGTAATGGCTGAAACAACTGTTCGACTATCTTTTGAATTGTATTGTTACATATATACGTATCATACATGTATTTGAAATACATACAAACACGCGCGTACGCGCGCGTGAATATATACATATGTATAAGTCATACATATGTATACTTGTATATAAATATAAATATATACTTATATATATATATATATGTATATTTAATATATTTAAATTAAATACACACAGTATGAATATGCAGAATGGCTGAAAAATTTCTTTCAGGTCTCAAATTTTGGATACATATATTTTAAAAAATGTATACTTTTTTAGAGATACATATGTTTTGGAAACATGTATTTTGGATATATATATTTTGGAAATGTATACTTTTTTAGAGATATAATATCTAGTCTCTCTCGCCTGATAGGACGTCACTTTTCTAAACAAAAACTTAATAAAAATTTATCACAAAGTCTGTTAAAACAATGTATTGTGTGCAATGAATAAACTAAAGCATCGAATTTGTTATATGTATAATTATTTCTGTTCTACTAATTAAAACTAAACAACATAAGTAAAATAATAAATGAATTAAAAAGATTAATGCAAAAAAATTAAAACAAGAAAAAAAAAAGAAAAAAATAACAAGAAACATAAAAAACAGAAAAAGAGCTACAAAAACTTTCTTTATGCCCACGTTAGTTTTGGGTAACGCTAAAGGGAAGTTTCGTATCTGCTTTGGTTAATGATTTTGTGGTCCAACTATTAAAACTGAACAAAATCTGACTTTTGTAATCGTAACGAGCAATCTCGAGAAGCCTTATAAACAGTTTATTTTTTTATGTTAGACAACGTTCAGTTGTTTTTTCCTCTTTGAGGACTGGCCTCCTAGCCACTATAGTGGCTCTGAATTTGCGCGTTAACTTTATATAAGACGTTATATGTATATAAATTTTTAGTATCAAAAATATAAAATTTCAAAGAAAAAATGCTGATCTTCTAAATAAATACATGTATTCTTCGTTTTTTAAAATCAATCTAAAGTTCTTAAGGCTAAAGAATAAAATAGTTTTTGATTAAAGAAACATGTTGAAATCAACGGTAACTATTTTAAACAATAAAAAGTAAAAGAGTATAATTTGTATAATTTTTAACTTTATATATTTGATATGCGTTTGTGCATTGTGTCAATCTAATCGAAGTGAGTTTTTCAGTATTCGCAATTTGTAATCTGATTTACGTAATCTAACGGAATGGGTTTGAGGTAAAGCTGTCTGTTGCAGACATGCGCGCGAAACCGTATAAACGTCAGCGGTATTCCTTGCGTACGTAATCCTGCAAAGTTTGCGCGGCCAGCTGCGTCACTTTCTGGCCACATCGATGTTAACGTAAAACTCGGTTATCGCATAAAGTACATAACGACACTCATCATTTGTAATCCGTTTATGCTATTAATAAATCGCTCCGTTGTTGCTTGATGACATTTTTTTCCACGTCGCGTCGCGTCGGCACGCAACCGCCGACTGTCTCTCCGCTCTGCTACGCTCTCGCGATTTTCTCATTGCGGAAAGACGCGTTGCGGAATAGCACCGGCTGGAGAAAAGAATCTGACCGCGCTAAATATGCAAACTCTGCGAACATATTGTCGCTGATACGCTAAAATCTATGCACTCGTTAATGTATAAGTCTCGTAGTATTTAGCGGTCTAACGTTAAATGTTGTACACTGTACTGACATCATGTAACTTAACATCCCAATCTTATCTTAATACTTATATATTTCATTTCAGAAATAAAAATTTTGCAGTTTTTCTTATTCTTGATAAAATCTTCTCAATATTCTACAAAATACAATCATTATTAAATATATAAAACATACTATCTATATATGAGATAATAAACAGTGAATCTATTTTACTGTTTGCTGTAATGATATAATAACTGAATGATGTCGTTGCACCGCAATCACGTTCACTGCGACATGTTGATATTTTGTTATCATCATTTGTTTACATGTGAATATATTTACATCTCAGATATTCTTATATAAAATGTAATTTTGTTACACACAAGTGGAACACACAATTCAAGAACATTTTCGGATATCTAAGATTTTAATTGTGTCAAGTATATCGGGATTAAACTCTAATTAATAGAGTGTTATCATAAAATACATAGTTAAACATCTTGTTAAAACAAATATTAAATAATTTCTGTCTGCTTTTGCTTGCTTACTTAATTATTTTCTATTCAGTATAAATATGACTACGTGAAAGAGAGCTTCTTTAACAGGATGATAAGTATTGAGGTTAAGTTTTTATAGCCTTCGAGTGAGTTATAGCTCATGTGTTGGTCAAGATAAGATTTTATAAAGCACGAAAACTGTGAAGACACAAGTTAGCGACATAACATGCATCTAACGCATACAGAAAAAACTTTATTATCTACAACTATTTCAACTTGTTCAAAGTAGCGCAGAAGTTATTATTGACTAACCGCACATTGTATACGCGTGTACCTATATTTAATCGCAAAGGCGCGTACATGACATAACAATTTCAGGAAGAGAACTTAAATACAATGTCTTAAAAAATAAATTAAATTATATAATTAATAAAATAGAATATAACAAATAGACAATAAAATTTTAGATAAAATAAAAAAGAAATTATATAAAATTTATTATATATGTACGTACATAAATTGATGTATTATTATGTAAGTATATCACATGTTCTATATATACAAAATTACACTGATCAAGAGGCACGGTAGTGCCTCGCGCCAAGTTCACGCGCAACGAAGTGGCGCTCGAACTGCGCGAGCACACCGTGCCTCTTATACGCGAGATTCAGGCAATTCAGTGGAGGGGAAATTTGTAATCAGTCATTTCTTAACAACGACTTNTTTGTAAAACGGGTTTTTAGAGAAAGAATGTTTTGTAGTATATAAATGTTGTAAAACAGGTTTTATAAAGAAAGAAGTTTTTGGAGTATAAATAATTTATATTCCGTAACTTCTCTTATTATGTAATACAGAAACTCCGATGCATAATTGCAACAGATATCCATGTGGTGCACAATTATATCAAATTGCTTGACTTACACTTTAACAAATGACAATTGTCAATACTAAAGTATACGAAGTGATCGTCATTGCGTAGTTAATTCGGAATATCGCATCTGATATACCATGTCATAGGTAGGTAAAGCAGTGCCACGCAAATATTCGTTCAAACACGCCCGCTTTTCCGAAGTCGTGTAATTTATAACACGCAATGCGAAAAAAAACCGCAGAATGGCATAATCGACGAAGTCACACAGGATGTATTAGCGATCCGGTTGCCGGAAGTAATTTCCGATGCGTACGACTGGAACGATTCGACGCAGAGCTTACAATTGGTCAATGTCACGTCGGTGCATGTGCACTCGAAAATACGTAAAAACCACGAGTTACGTATGCGTACTTGTTTGTCGATAATCTTTGGTGTCTAAAATGATATTGCAACTAAATAAACCGAAGATGGATTATAAGATACTTTTTATTCTTTTAACGCAACATCCGTCTTTGCGAGATTGCGTTCGCAGAACTTTAAGTTAGTTATTGACAGCAATGCTTGCAATTGAGAGAAATATCAGTCGAATGGTATAATAGAAATCAAAAATTTCGATTTTGTATCATCGATCTTTTTCATGTAATCCTTTTAAAACGATTGTTGCAAAAATTTTTCAGAAGCGTGTTTTCTTGTGTGTTTTTATACACAGAGTTAATTATTATTATTATATACATATAGCGCAGTTGGATTGCACTTGCAATGAATAAAAAGAATTGTTGAGTCATGTATCGAGATTTTCGCTCAAATTTTGTCGGTACGTACATAAGTCATGTACGAGCAAAAATAAAAGCGAATATGTATTATTAGCGGAAGAATATTCGAAATAAAAACAAGAAACCAATGCATCTTGCCTATATTCATGTAATAAACTACATGTATCAGTTACTTATACAATATTTGTAAGTAGTATTTTTCAATTTGTTTTTTAATCTTACCTACTTCATACAAAATCAGAAAAATGAAAAGAATACGTTGGATGTGGAAAAAATGATAGACGTAACATTTTTAGATGTCTATGTATTTGTGCCAAAACTATGCATGCTTTATTTATTCAATAATTTATTAAGATTGGCATGGATAAGTTGTACGAGTAAAGTACGAAAATGCAGCACATTGTACACGACGAGACGCGCGAAAAGCACACGTTGGCGCCGGATGACAGTAGTTAGCCCACATATATACGCCGCAATTCGCAAAAGCGCTCGGCAATGCAAACTGATAACTGGATCTCCATGGCCTCGTTCAAGGCCAGTCCTCGTTACGGTACTAACTCCCGTCTGACCGTCCGGCTCCGGTTTCTTCGTGAAGATGTATTCTCGCGCTAGCGACGTTGACGTTCGGCGACCATAATATATACGCACATACATACAATACGTATGTACATGCAATTTCTTCGAGAAGCAGAAATGTGCAAGATGTGCTCTTTACTCGAAACTGCGTGAATACAAAAGCTTGTAGACAAGTGTACGCACGGCACTTGACGTCTCTCTCCCTCTCTCTCTCCCTCTTCTTTCCTTAATGTTTTTGTTTAATTATTCTACTATCAAATTATAAAAACTTGTCAAACTAAAAATGTAACTTTCTTTATAAGAAAAAAAGAAGCGCACACAGTTTTAAAAGACGACGACACGTTCGTTATTGATACTCACAATCAGTTCGTATCGGTTTGTTAGGCTGAAGAATAATATCTTGCTGGCTCAACAAATGATTTAAAACTAAGAAGTAAACGATAAGATAACAATACAAATAAAAGAAGATACAAATATACTGAAAAACATCTATATTACAGATAGAGGTACTATATATACATTAAATAAAAAGCAATAACTATTTATTAAACTAAATATCAAAATTAAAAAATAAATAAATCAATTAAAAATATGCCTAATCTTATTTTTTTGTTTTTTCTTATAAAGTTTGTGTAATATTTTTCATATAAATATATATATATATACATATATAAAATTTTCTTATGTTATTTAATCCGCACAATTATATTAAAGTGCGGTGCTGGAAAAAATGCGACATCAGTGATACGATCGACAATATTGTTACCTGATGTAAGTGATAATAAATGATAATTATTTTAACGTTTACACAATTTCATGATATACGTAATAAATAATAATAAATAATATATAATCATCATGTTTAATTCAAATGGTTTGGATGGTTATAACATGTTTTAAATATCAGTTATTATCAGCTTTAAAATTTTATAAGATTAGTAGATTTTTCATTATTTAACCCCATCATAGTATCATAGTTTCATCTCGTATTATCTGATATATCCGATAAATCTTAGTAATTAATTATATCAAGTCCCAAGCAACTTTTTTTAAGAAAATGCAATATAAATAGAATATATATATCTTGCCAAATTCTTTGCGCTCTCCTATTTTTTTCTCCACTCAACATTTTACTCTTACTCCGTCGACACCTTGGAATCTCAATGTTGAAAAGCGTAGCACGTATTTTCGAACGTAAAGCAAATTTGGGTTAAGGTCTCGAGAATGGTCATTTGTCGATTGCCTCGTTTTGCGAGAAGCAGTAAATAAAAATTGTGGAACAATCTATCGTAAATCAATTTGTCTACTATACTTTTAGTTGTTTAGAAGATATAGTCTTATTATATTATATCTTATTATATTAATATGTAAAGCGATTTACACACACAAATAAGATAAATATTAATATAATAATAAATATTATATACATATTTATATACATTTATAACACATATATAAATATTTATATACATAAGTAAATATTTATATTACTTTATGAATTACGTCAGAATAGTTTATTCTCGGTTTCCAATAGGTTATTCAACATTATAGTTTGTTTTTGATAAACAATATCCAAATATATTCAAACATATAACAAATAAACGAAACGTCTGACAGTCCCTACAATAATAAATATATCTACCAAAACAATTTGACCGGCTCGTATTGGCCCCTTTCTTCCCTGTGACAATTTCACGAGCTTAAAAAGAACAAGATATATTCAAACAATTGTAAAAGGCTATTTTCTTTCTTTTATATATGTATATACATACATACACATATATACATATATAGATATATACATACATACATACATATATATATATATGTATATATACACACAATATATATGTAAGTATGTATATATACTTATTTAAGTATACTGTGCTTTCTTCCTCTCTTTCTTAAATACGTTACTGTCACCTTTCGTTTATATAGAAAACTATTCTACTGTAAAGAAAAGTGATTACAATCCTGTGTGATTGCATTCCTTCTTTTAACTAATAATTATCTTCAACAAATAATACTTCTTGATAAGTCTCAAAATATATTCAACTTATAATAAATTTAAGAAAAAATCGTTATCATGTTACTTAGAGAAAAAGTTCTCTTTAACAGAATTTCATTGAACTTCATCCAAGAAAAAAAGTGAAGTTTTGTTTTAATTTAATATTTTTTTGAAGTATTAAACTTTTATTTACTAAGATCTAAAATGCATCTTGAATAAATTTTATACGTATACGATGAATTTATACTTATTTGCGAATGTATAAAAAATTTATGAAATAAATGTATAAAACACATTTATAAAAAATACTTAAAACAAGTAATATTTATATTAATGCATTTTTTGTGTGCGTGTAGCAGCCAGTAATTCAAAGAGAACAGTAATAATATGTTATGTCGTTAAGATTTTAATCCGAGAATTATTTTCAAAAGGATAAAAGTGTCAATAAGTTTTTGGCAAAACCCAGAAAAGCTATTAGAAAAAGCTGCTGGCTGCCGAAACATTCCTTCTTAAGATAAGGCAGGTAGCTCCTGTTTGCAACGAGAATCTTCTTGCTGTCTTAAGCCAGATTGCGCCTGTCATCTTTATTGCACTTCCGGGCCTCAAGAGAACACGTGTTTAGTTTGAGATAGACGGTTATTCTTGGCTTGTCCATTCGCGACAGAAGTGTCGGATGAGACGTGCTGAGAAAGAACGCTTTGCGTGCTTTGGCGGGCTTTTCGCTCACAGTCGTCACGCACGCGAGATTGTTCGTGCTAAAATATCGCTCGTGTGTAGCAGTATACCTACGCACCGCATGCGTGCTCGGCTCTGTATGCACAGGTTTGTGGAGAAAGAAAAAGAGAAAGAAAGAGAGAAATATATATATATATATATATATACATATGACAGAAGAGAGAAAAAGACTGCAGCGGCGAGCTTTCGTTGAGCGTCTCTCACATTGCTGGCCACGACGATCCAGAGAGAAAGTTTCTTTCGTCATGACGACCACTAGCCTGATTAAATTACCGCCGTAGAATGTGTTTAATTGCTTGCTACGCCTGCTACGTTTTTTAAATAGCCGTTGCGTTATTCGTCGTAGCAATTTCTGTCGAGTTTCTTGAAATCATCAAAGATAGTTTAGCCATAATTTCAATAGGAAAGAAAGTATCAATTACAAAGAACTTTTAAACAATATTTGTTAAAATAAAATAAATGGTCGTGTTTGTGTGTTGTAATATAAATATTATAACATTCCACTAAAAACGTCACTAGTAAACGATATTTCAACATTACGGTTTTATAATGCTTTGGTTACTCTTTATAAAACTCAAAATAATTCAGAACTTATTCAAATGTTGATTTTAATCAGTGTATTTTCATATAGAAAATAAAAAATACGTTTTTATTATAATTTTTCTTTAAATTATTAAATATTATATCTATCAAGACAATAATATTTGTCATGGCACACACAAAGTTGGATTACTTAGATAAATACAATACTGATACATACATTTTTTTAAATTATTATTCTTGTTATATTTACGATATATAAGAGCATTATTGTCAGTTTAGTTTCTGTTTCAGGTCAAGATACAGCGAGTATTTTTTGTTTACCAAGAGCGCGATACACACGTGGTGCATCGTCATTTTCAAGTATGTCGACTTTTTGTTTCGGTATATTACTAAAAATATACTTGACGCAGTAAAGTCGAAAAAAATAGAAAAGAACGGAAATTTTTTTCTTCTTAAAAAAATGACAATTTTTTTTGTGATTGTGTATCAAACACAAAATTTAGAAGTCAAATATCATTAGTCGAGAACTTTCGTATTATCACAAAAAGAGAAATAATATACAAAATTGTATAAAATTCTCTTAATTTCTTTTTTTTAATTATTTTTTTTAACTTTTAAAGGCTATCATGGGGTAACATTTTACCCCATATAAATTTCGTTTTAATCAGTGTTATGAAAAAACGTAACCACTGGCAACACTAATTTTATGAATATTATTCGTAACATTAAAGTTTTTGATTTCTAAAATAAAAAAATATATACTGAAGTAAAATTTCACCCATGATAACATTAATAGTGATTTTGTATGATAGCTTTTTTAAATGTTAATATATATTTATATAAAACTTCTATCAATTAAAAACACTAAATTTTTAAAGATAAAAACTCAAAACTTACACCACAAATATGATCATAAATAATTTGAAATCATATAAAAATTTCTCATATATCAAAATAAAAAAAGATTTATATATGAAATATGTGCACGCGCAAAAATATCAAGTTAGAAAATGAGAATATCAGCTGTCATTTTTGCAAGAAGTAAAAGCGTTTTTCTCTCTTTTACGAGACTCGTAATTTCTGCGCATTCCGAGCGCTCACTTCGCGCGGATTACGACCGATAATTGCTCCGACCGCAATGTGCTTTCTGTCGCTTACCTTTATGATTTTGTACTTTTTCTTAGTTGCCTGATTGAGATCCTCGTGCACCTTGTCAAGCAGCCACAGAAGAAACTCCTGGGCGTCGTGTTGCAGATTGCCACGGTACTGGCTCCCGTACTTGTCGACGACGCTCTTGAACGCGGTGCTCATCTCCGGATCATACTGACAGCTCCATATCGCCTTGAGCAACAGCGCTAACTGCTCTGTGATTTCGCCCTTGGTGCCGTATTTCTTCGAATTGAGCTTGTTGCGGCGCGACAGATCGACCTTGTACTGATCCAGCACGAAGTACTCGGCGAGGATGTCGGTGTGGGACAGGCATTGCAGCACCGCGTTCATGAAGCACGTGTTGCCGTGATTGCGTAGGCCTATAACACCCGGCACGCGATCCGGCGGTATATGCGTTGGTCTCGGCGGCGGCGGTACCCTGATGTCGCCCGCACTCGAGCCGAGATCCTCGGCAACGATGGTACGTTGGTAGTGATGGTGGTGGTTGTGGTGAGACGCGCTCTTGTGGCTCTGCGCGCCAACCGCAGACATGTGCCGCACTATCTTGCTCATGAACTTCTTCCAAGAAGGTCGACGGAACACCTTCTTGCCGAGCGGTCGCTCCTGACACTCTTGAATCTGCCCGGTCTGATGCTGACTGCCATATAGCAATCTGCCATGTTGCTGCATACTTTCCGCGTTCCGCGCGTTGTTCCTGGCGTTCTCCTTGGCGTTTATTGACGCGCCGTTGTTGGCGTCTTTCGTGTCACCGTGGGTCTGCGATTGTTGTTGTTGTTGTTGCTGTTGCTGCTTGGGACGTCGCCGAGACATCCTGCTATTGGCGCTTTGAAACGGGTTTCTCGGTAATGTAAAGGTGCGCTTGAGCCGCGTGGCGCCGCGCGGCTCCGCGAGTTTAACCTCTTCCTCCACGCCCAGCTCACCCGCCGACACCGATTTCATCACCGATGTGCCGTCGCGATCGTCCGTTTTCGCAGCGTTCATCGCCAGCCACAGCCAGTTTTTGTGGCGCGCGAGATCACCACCACCACCACTTTGGCCACGGCGTGTAGGCGATCGCGGTCGCTACGCTCTCGCCTCACATCACGCGAGCGTTTATTTCCCGGTGCCGAGGATATATCGTTCGCGATCCCCGTGCGCCACGACGACGACGACGACGACGACGACGACGATGACGACAACGACGACGACGATTGTACGCACGGTACAATCGACACGCACGTTACACGACACGTCGCCTGCACGTCTCGTATGTGCGGCCACAGCCGAACGCGTTCGTACGTTCAACACTCTCGCACGAAAACTACACCACAGCGGCCATTTGCCGCGAATCTACGGGATTTCACACAACGTCGAATCGAGACCACGAATCACACGCGAACTACTTTGATGGGACACGGTTGTATCGTGCGATCACTGCGACATCTAGAAATTTGCGTGGAATCATTGCGGTTTATATTGTCTGCGATAAGTGTTTCTTTGCTCGATAAAGAAGAAACTATACTTTTTTTGCAACTGTAGGCTTTCAATAAAAGATCTATAAAAGAATCTTTTTTAATATATTACCAAGATTAATTATCTTACTGCGCGGAATACGTTTTGTTAAAGAAAGATTGTAATTCGAATAAAAAATATGTGTTGTTATAAGTAATGAGCGTGAAAATAAGACATTCAACATATTGTGTAAAATATAATAATAAAATGTATATTTTTTTGGTAGTAACTTTAGTTTATCTTTTTTTAGGCTTTTTTTTATCAGAAAGTTATCGTGAACGTTTCCTTACTAACGAAGCGTTCCAACAAAACCAATATCGCATCAAATAGATCGTGTATATTGTAGTATTGTTCCTTTTCTATCGTTGTTTTTTCACTATATAATAATATAGTCAATTCAGAAAAAACTCTTTCTACTTTGTGAATTTGCATATTTTATCTTCTTTTACAACAATTCTCGATTTTATTCAACGCTTTACACCGTGAAAGAATATTTGGCGGTTCCAACCACAAATGTAATTGTATCTTCAGTGTGTGTGGGAGTTGTACATGATTTGCACATATGCCTCTTCATACATAATCCGTCGTTTATTTCTTATCGATTTCCATAATAATAGTTACAAGATATTATAATATATTGTATATTATACTATACGTACTATATTGTACCATAATAAATTATATTTGTTTTTTGTTTAGAGGTGAGAACACGTTCTTGTATCTTTTGTACATTACAAGTTTTTAATGTACAATAAAATTATTTAGCAGCTATTTTGCTGATGTCGATTAAAATATCGACGAAATAATTTTGACACTGGTTGATTTGTCCATTTAAGCGTCTTTCTAAGTCGCACAACGCTCTTCAATATGTGTGAGATTTTTCACGACTAAAGTAATTATAACATAAAAATACATATGTAATAAATACCGATGCAAATGGTAAGATCATTCCAATATCCATTGAATCTAATAATATATTCATAAATAGCACTTGTTATTTACAAAAAATAAAATGCGAGATGCTGATTGACGATTATATTACTGACTAGATCAGCGACAAAATAGAGAAATTCGATTTTCAGTTTGGTTGTTTAATTTTATTTGTGATACGTGTATGCAACCAATTTGTTCACTAAAATAATTAATATCATAAAAATGGTTGAGATAAAGAGAGAGTTATCTTTCAAGAATAAGATCGAATCTGTCCTATATTTATAAAAAAAACATTTCATAAATCGATATAATTTTGCTGAGTTCACTTTTCGATGCAGCAAAAAAAAACATTTCTTACGCCAATTGTCGTGTCTCCATTGTTATAAATAAATAGTAAATATTTTTTTCTTGTGCATTTAATGCATCGAAATCTAAACTTCTTAAATTTATCGATTTTAATCTCTAATCGCGTACAAGTTATCGAATACTTGTTTAACGTACACAACTGTAAAGCGACAATCACGATAAAGAAAACTCTCGGTTAACGAGTACGACTTTTAGTCTTCGTCTGATTTGACCAAGGGATGAATAGCCATAGAAGCACCCGAGCAACTCACGGTGTTCTGTATGTAATCCTGAAAGTTGCTTTCAATTACCCACATATATCTCTTAAAACCAGGAACTACCTGAGTTGGCAAACGACAATCGTCACCGGCTTTCTGCACTTGGAGAAAGTTCTCCGGTGTGAAGGGTGTCTCGGTGTTCCACAAGTAGATATCGGATTCACCTAAAAAATAAGAAAATCATTCTTAATTAGAGATTTGATTGAAACATAAAACTATTTACAAGAACTGTCCACAAATTATATCTGTTATTTTACGGAAAACTCCGTTCTGAAATAACTGATTGAAAAGAGTACGTTATTACAATCCACTTTAATTAATAGATATAAAAGACCAACTTACCCTTGTTTCTAAAGAAAATAGAGCAGCCATTGTCAGTTCCGAGAAGAACAATCTTCTGTCTCTTCGGTCCGATATCAATAACCGATCCTTGTGAGATACCTTTTCTCAGATTCTCTGCCTTGATTGCGAAGAGCCTGTTTGATCCCAGGTAAGTGAAGTATGCCACAGGCGTGCCGCAGCTCTTTTTCACCAGCGTCAAGTAAAGAACGTCTCGTCGATCAACGCCAACAGTGACGGCATTTGGAAGAATCACTCGGTGTCCTTTATCGGCGGTGACGTTGTAGACAATGATGGATTTAGAGGCGGCATCAGTTACGTACACAAACACCTGACCATCTTCCGCATAATCGATCGACAGATATTGTAAACGAGACATCGGATTCACCAGAGGAGTCAAATCGATCACCTTAACTACCTGCAAGATACGTATGTATTGTTACGAAATTCTTAATTGCTTTTTATTTTAAGAATGTTAGAAATTATAAATTTTTAAACAGTAGCTCTCAGCAAAATGTTGCTGTAACTAACATAGTGGCAATAGTATTAACAGTAAAAATATTAACATTTAAATATTTTTATATTACTTTCAAGACTGTATTTATGTTGAGACATCATAAAATTACCTAATATCTTCACTAGTGTCGCAAAATTTTAAGTTCTCTTAAACAAAAAACTTATTGAACAGAATTTTTTGCTAAATATTTTTAAAACATATTTTGTCAGATAACATTTGTGAGAGAGAGAGAGAGAGAGAATTAATGTGAGTTTAAAATTCTGTAACTGTTTTTTCTTTATTTGTTGTTGTAATTTCATACCTTTCCAGTTTTTACGTTAATTCCGACGACTTTCGGAGGGCACCTGCGTACCGGTTGTTCCAAAGTGTTTACTATACCAACATCTAATACCCATAGGATGTCTTGAATGTCCAGAGCTATGTCCACTACGCTCTGTAGCGCCTGACAATTGCCTTCCTCCTGAATCGCCCAGCAAGGGAACGGTGTCATTTTCGGCGCTACGGAGTCCTTCGCAGTGTTTTTCAATGACATGACACCTAAGGTGAACGGCACACCGGACTTGTAACGCGGCAATGCCACAATTGCATCGTCTTTGTAGATCTGCATCCTTGTAGCAATGATATTTCTGGGGACATAACGTCCACTCGTTTCGTAGATGTTCTTGGTGCTCTGACATGGCCAGTCCAAGCTCTGACCGGACAGGATAAACGACAGATCCGAAAACAATTGCTTCTCAGACATTACCAACGATAAACTAGTTGCCAGAATAATCAGGCACAGAGCGCTCTTTGGAATTCTCATCCTGCGCCCGTATTTTACAACGCGGTTTTTTATACAATAATGTTTTGATGTTCTGTAAAAAGACACAATGACTAAAATTGAGTTAATAGATTATTCTCTCTCGAAAAAATCGATATGTTTTGCTTGTGATATTTCTACTTTTGATAAAAACTTTTGTCTGTTCTTTTTGAAAGAAAATTTCATAAATACTGAGATTAAAGTCGATGAAATTAATAATAAATCTATGAAAAACAATATATAGATGTATATTTTATATGTATATATATATATATATAACATATGAATAAATAACGTTTTTAAATCTGAAGACATATAAATATGGAAACTTACGAGATTCGTGTAATCTCAGTCAGATGAAAATCTTCCAATGTGCGAATCATTTATACGACCTTATACTTATATACTTATACATGTTGTTTATTATGAACTGCTTATATTTGTACTGTATTGGTTTTTCTTGTGCAATAGTTTACGACAACTGTCTCATTCAAGGCTATTGAAATTTAAAAAGAAGATGTATTTCGTGACAACATTCTTCAACGCTGTTTATAAATAATGTAAAATTCAGGAAGACAAAAAAAAAAAACAAAATTGTTTAGAAAACAATAAAGCAGGAAGTGCAATAAATTACACATTATTTGATTTATTTATTGTACTTGTCTGATTTCTGCACTTCATAAATTAATAACATAATGATCGCGTATTGTTTGATACTTCCGGTAAATTTAGTACATCAACGTCTGCGCAAAGAATTCCTTTTACAAACGTGTTCACGCCGACTTGCTACCACGACTAAATATTTGTTAAATATTTTGCAACAAGACTCGAACATAACAGGAATATAAAATTGGCGCAATTCGGAGGATCTTACAGTTTACGATTCCATCGCCGAGAAGAAACGCGTACAAGAAGCGTTTGTTTGAGAGACGGAAAAAACTTACGAAAAGAGCAACAAAGATGATTACTTTACGGACGGTGGCGTTCATCGTCGCCGTCGGTCTCGTCGGTGCCGAACAGATCCAAAAGACAGTTGAAAAGAACATCCAATGGACTGGCGGATCCTTCGAATGGCCTTCTCCAGCTACTAAGAGCTTATTCAGAAACAGCAATCGTTACATCTCGAAGAACGTTCTCTCTACCAGAGTTGCAATCTACAAGGACGATGCTATCCTTGCCTTGCCCAGGTACAAAAAGATACATAATTTATAGCTTTATAATAATTTTTAATTGATATTAATTACTTACGGAAAGTAAGTATATATACAATTTTCTCTAACTGTAATAAAGCTTTTTTAAACGAGGAAAGCTCTTCGAAGTTTATTTTAGAAAACATATTTGGACAAAAAAGAAAAAAGTCGCAAAAAACAATCATATCTATTATTGTCACTTACATGTTACAAAACATTCTGCCGCAATAAACTAGGTTTAAAGCGAGTCAATTGTATTTTTACTCTTCTACTCAACGTAATCGAAATCGTTGCTTTCTTTTATGGTAACTAAATCCGGTTTAAAGAGTAACCGCATTCTTCAGTATTGCTCGTTTGGTTAGAGGATTTGTAAGAAAAAAGTACGCTTGTTGCAAATCATGTTCTTTCAGTAACGAGTCGATATACGTAAAGTTGGTCCTCACTAGTAGGTTGTGGACAGTACACATAGAAATCGTTAATAGGCTGTGTTTGACGTAGAAGGCGATTGTAACACGCGACCATAATCATGATTTTAAAGAAAATACGAAGTAATTATCTGTTTAGATTATTGTATAAAAATAAATAATAATAACTTAAAGTTTTACTTTAAATACACACATGACGAATCACATGATTATAAACTTTTTCAAAGGTCACGTGATGATATGAATGCCACGTTTGTACTTTTAATAATTAACGTTATGACATTAGAAGACTACTGTGTATCTCTGTCTTGGTTCGTAAAGGACGTATGAAATTTTTATCTATATAGATGTGAATAGAACTGAAACGTATTTTGTTCAACGGTAAAAGCATATACTGTAATAACAATATCTTCATCGTGCACACCGTTTTCTTTTACGTAATGTGTGTTATTAATCTTATCAGTAGCGATTTTAAAAGATTAACGTGCAATGTTCCTGGATTGTTGCTAAAATGTACTGTTTTTTTATGACACTTACTATCGATTGATAAATTGTAACAGTTTACTCACAAACTATACATACATATACATATATATATATATATATATGTGTGTGTGTGTGTGTGTATAAATATATATATAATATCTTCTTAATATCTATTTAATGTTTTCTAGTGAATAAATATTATGTAGGGTTAAAAAAGATCAGTTGATAATTTTACTTTGTTTTAGATTCTAAAGTTGAAAATATTTTTGTCAGATTTAAGCCTGGCGTGCCGGTGACCTTAGCAAAAGTTTCCTTGAAAGACAAGAATTGCCAACAAGCCACTCTTTCCGCTTTTCCTTCCTGGTCGATTCAAGAAGAAGGCACGTGCTCCGCGTTACAGAATGTCGTAGACCTTTATTTGGATCCTCAAGAAGTTCTTTGGGTTCTGGACACGGGTATCGTAAACTCTCTGGAAAAGTCTGAACGTAAATGCTCACCAAAAGTTGTTGCTCTGAACGTACGAACCGGCAAGGTAAGATAATATATTCTAAGACAAATGAGATATAAAATGACGTAAAAGACTTGAATTGCTTATTATCATATCTACTTATAATCTTTGTAATATTTGCGAAGCTTACAAGATTAAAAGCGATACGACATAAAAAGAATTCTTAGAATCAAAGAATTTACATTGTTTATGTGACAAGCAGTAGATCTTATTTCTTTCAGTCTTGCAAAATTTCCAGTGTTTTTTATATAGAAAAAAGAAAATAGAAAGAAGTTTCCAAAACGCCATTACACTTATTATTAATTTATTAGAAAGAAGTTTATTGTATATTTTCTGTTCTACTTATATAATTTCTTGTTAGCTATGCGTTTTGTAAGCTCATTTGTGTTACTCATCCGTGTCGCTTTTTCTTTTTCTCACATTTTTATGCAATGTGAATTTCAAACAACTCTTCTTACCGTAACAAATAATCGTCATGAATAAAAAAGAAATAAAAAAGTGTTTTTGAGATAAGATCTTCTCAAGAGAGAAATCAGAATATCAAAGATTACGTAATTAGTGTTTTTCACATTTGAGAAGTTCAGTTTAAAGTTTTAAAGTGTTTAATTTTTTATACTAAATGTGTGGCATTCACAAAATAACAGAAATGTTTTGTCGTAGGTCGTAAAGATCGTCGATTTGTCCGGTTTAACGAGTGTTTCGTCCCGATTGCAATACGTGGTAGCGGACTACAATCCAGACGGTCGCGTCTTCATTTACGTGTCGGACGCAGCTACAAGAGCGATCCTCGTATACGACGTGACTTCTGGTCGCGGCTACCGCGTCGTACTTCCGGAAGCGGTGACACTAAACTGCAGCCGACGTGACGTGCTATATCTCGCGTTGATACGCCATCAGGATGGTAGCACCTGCTTAATTTTTACGTATCTCGGTAGCAATCGCGTGTTCTCCATTCGCACGGATCACTTGCGCAGCGGCCACACGCAAGGCAAAATTCATGACCTCGGACCAAAGCCAAAACGACTGATCATTCTGGGAACCGACAACGGCAACGCGCTTTTCTTCCGTTACGAGGGCGACTCAGAAGTTTACAGATGGGACAGCACTACATCGTTTCAACCGGCAAACTTCCACGTTGTGTATAACAGTCAGGAATGCGCCTTGGCGACGCACATTGTGCCAGATTACAAGCGAGGACGGATGCGCGTACTCGAGAGCAACTTCCCGGATTACATGCAGGGCACCGTCGGCTGCGGAGCCAATCACGCGTTAAACCTCATGTAGAACAAAACCATGTTTCCGCTTCGTTGCAAACGATCTCTACGTGTGTCGAACACGATCGTTTTGAAAAACAACTGGTTGTTCCAACTGTTTGTGTGACCGATAATTTGCAACAATATTTATAATTTCGACAAGTTCTATCTTTCTCTCTCTTTCTTCCCATGCTATATAGATGCGAACCGATGTGATTTCTTATCGTGTCTTTATTATCGCACGAATGTGTATTATAATATAGCGATATCATTTTTTGTGTGTCTCTGTAGTGTCGAAATGTGAACTCTCTGAAATTATATCGACTGCGATGCGTTTTTTGCATCGACAACGCGAAAACTCAAACAGTAAGCAAAATGTCACTTACTGATGTTCAACGGATGGACAAATAAACATGTTACAAAAAAAATTTGTGATTTTTATCTCCTCTTGATGAATGCGAGATGCGTATTATTAGACATTTATCTTGAATCGGTTATGCATCGATATATTGCATCAGTGCGGATAAGAATATTAATTATTTTGTTCTTTTTAATTATAATTAAACGTTTAATCTGCAAAGCAAGTAACCGTTAGCGTTAAATGTCTATATACATACATATCATATATCGTATACATTTTCTTTTAAAATTTATTTACACACACAATTCAAGTACTTAACTATATTTTATAATCTAAAATTTTTGTATATTTGTTTTAAACTATTCCGTAGATCAAAGATTTGTTTTATTGCTATGCTTTAATCAAATTACGCAAGGCTTTCGTAACAAGTTTTATTTGTTTATAAAAAGAAAAAAGAAAACGATTAAGCATTATGCGTAAAAAGATCAATAACACATCATGTTTTATACTTAACAAAAAATTTGCTTTTTTTACATCAATTTATTTATTTCTATTTTTGAAAAGAATGTTTAGAGTGTAATAAATTCAGCTTTAGTAGAGAGGATTCAATTTTCAATTCCACTATTATCAAAACAGATTTTCTCTTTCATTCTTTTATATTTAAATAACTAGTAGCTTTTTGCACCAAATTTAACGAGTATTTCGAGTTTTGTATTTTTATGTTTGCTGTAATTTATACACTTGAGACAGAACTATGTGATCTCAATGTTAAACTTTCATGAAAATTGATATCCACACAGGATAGAATTACCTTCCTACTCTTGTACATATGATATAGAAGCAGAATATACGGATTAGATGGATTTATAATTGCGGTACTTTTTGCTATATAGAATTTGTTTAATTTGTTAATTGTAATCTGTTTTTAAATGTTTGAAGTTTTACATTATTTTTTTATTTTTGGTAATTATGCAGTTATACGGACTATTTTCCGATCTCAACAATTTTGACATATGTTATCAAGGTCAC